AAAAAAAAAAAAAAAAACTCTATGGATCTACACGATTCACGTGGATGATATATTTTTGATTCAAAACGGTGAATTTCACCGAAAAGTGACAAGTTTGCAGGTATGATTGTGTATTTTATGTTTTTAGTGCATAGCTTTTATATATGATGATTTTAATGTAAAGTGTCTTTGAGTACTCTGAAAAGCGCTCTATAAATAAAATGTATTATTATTATTATTATTAATACATCGGCATGTCCACACAGCGTCGGAAATACATAAGGGCAAAGGGCAAAACTGCCCCTAAGAAATATAATGTTGCCCCTGATATCACTAGGAGAGGGGCAAAAAATGCCCCCATAATTTCCTCTAATAATAATGATAATTTAATGAACTTGTCAAAAATATCGTAGCCTATATGACCCGGTCCAGTTGCCTTGACTGATGTTGCATGTGCGTGAAGAACCGAACTTTCTAAAAAGATAAATAAATGGAGCGCTTCTTAATCAGACCTGTGACTGCGAGACTGCGGTCAACTCAGCAGACACTTACATGTTAGTGCACCTATATGCTGACATTCACAGAAAACGCATTCAAACGGCGCAGATCGGGAGTGAGCGAAGGACTTTGCATGTCATGTCGTCATGTCTTGGACCAATCAGAACTACACTGTCACAGTGACGTCATGTCTTGGATCAATCAGAACTACACTGTCACAGTGACGTCATGTCTTGGACCAATCAGAACTACACTGTCACAGTGACGTAATGTCTTGGACCAATCAGAATTACACTGTCACAGTGACGTTATGTCTTGGACCAATCAGAACTACACTGTCACAGTGACGTCATGTCTTGGACCAATCAGATCTACACTGTCACCGTGACGTCATGTCTTGGACCAATCAGAACTTACCGTTAAGAGTGACCTCGAAGGCTCCTGTAGACAGGAAGTGAGTCTCCATCATGTTACAGAGGAAGAAGGCCATCAGACAGGAGAAAATCTGACAAACAACAAAAACAGTGACGGGGTTAAATCCGTTGCCATGGTATCCCGTTGAATCATCCGTGGCCATGGTAACATGTACCTTGTTGTCCTGACTCCAGTTCCAGGCTCTGGGAGTGTCGAGGCCGAGGAGTACGAAGGGATTCTGACCACTGACGATCAGTAGGATGGAGAGAAGCTTCAGGTAAGAGACCAGGTTACCAACACACCTGAGGACAGACAAGAGGTTACCAACACACCTGAGGGGGTAGTGTAGTGATGTCAGAGATCACCTGTTGAAGGGGGTTGTGGGTAGTGTAGTGATGTCAGTGTTGGGGTCTGACTATGTGCTGCTGAATAAAGGAAAATACTTAGGCCTGCTTGTTCAGCAAAAAGCCTGATCTGGGTTGAAGACAACACCAAACCCTACAAGAAAGAGTTTCGGTTGGCCAAAACTCAGCACTGCTCTCATTGAACGAGGCCGGCGGTGCCGAGGCGGGACTTCCGGTTCTAAGACCGGAAGTCACAAAGTTTATAAAATAACCAGGGACACCTGAAAACTCTGCTCTTCCCTCCGACTTGCGTCGGGGTAAGGAGGCAAGAACACAACGTTGCTGTTTTTAAAAGAAAACCCGAGGTCAACAGTCTTAATATCGCTGGACAAATAGACTGTTTTTGTTTCGGATCCTGAAAAAATAAGTTGGACAACTTGCCTGCAGAAGGAAGAAAACGCATTCTTCAGAGAAAAACAAATTATCTTTCCAATCAAGTCGATTCTCCCGGTTATAAGGATGCAGAATCTCTGGAGCTCTGAGTTTAACTCAGAAGTCATCTCACAGTAAGATGTTACTTGGTGTCTGGGCTTAGTTAGGTCATAGTGTGTTTATTCTCGTTACTGTGTATTGTTATAACATGGTGTATGCTCAATAATCGGCAAGATTAACAACAGAGATCGTTAATGTGTAGAAATTAGTGTATTTCATACTGCTGCCATCGTGTTTGAGATAGTTCTGTTTATAGTCCCGTTATGCGTTTATAGTCCCGTTATCTGTTCGTTTGTGCACTTTATTTTCTATCTTTCTGTACATTGTAATATGTTTCTACTTTGCACTGTGTTGATTGTTGTTGATTGTTAAATGTTATGCACCTCCTGTTCCAAAGATCAGAACACAGTAACACAATCTTTATTGTCTCTCGCCATTTGGCGTGGTCACGTGTGAAACTATCCCTCCATTTTGATATTCCGATCAAGGTGGTAGTGTAGTGATGACAGAGATCACCTGTTGAAGGGGGGGGGGG